AAATAAAAAAACAAATAGCAAGGTCCAGGTAAAGAGAAAACCCTGTATCAAGCTTGAATTTGTGATTCACTGATGTTGCTACTATGAATTACACATCACCTGTAGAAGTTCATTATATAATCTTTATTCCAAAATTCTTCTGAAAATAACCAATATCAATTTCCAGAACTGGCAGTATCTCATACAGAGTATTCAGTTTACATTGCGGAAAGAATGGGTTTGCAGAGGAGGTTAGATAGGTAATTTCAATATTGAAATTGGTCAATATAAAAGTCAAAGGGCAAAAATGTCAATTCATTATCATTGGGGTATCTTTGGTATAAGTATCAAACTTGAGGGGGTGTCATTGTCTAAAAATGGAATAAGTTTCATCTGTGTGTCCTTTTAGCAAACCTCAAGGGGTGTTAGTGTACTTTACCCATATTAACATATTACTGGAATGAATAGGATACTAAAATATTATATAGAAATTTGATATTAATATGTATGAATAGAGCTTTTTTTAGTTGGTCTATTTTTTGTCAACATTAGATCTATGTTTTCCATCTTTAGTAAAAAAAATGTCCTCTCATGGGTGGAAATATGAAAAGAACAATTAGAATTTTGTGAATACTACAAATTCTGATTATTACAGTTTTGTGTTACTTATGAGTTTCAGTTGGTTTGTTTTAAGATGGAGGTTGGATATGAAGAATTGTAGGGAGATAGAGAGAAGAGAGACCCTAAAAGTGAGATCTAAAAAAATTTAAATTGGGAAAGAAAAAAAAAATTTGAATTTCAGTTTAACCAGTAAGAAATTGGATACCGACTATTATAAGAAAATTTAAAAACTTAGACATGTATCTAAATTATATTAGACCACATGTGACTAAAGGATGAACTTCTTCCTCCCAAGAGAAGACTCGAGTATTATCCTCTAAAACATGAAAATATATGACATCGTATTTGCTTTCAATTACTATAAAATATGGACAGGTCTTATTACGTGGGCGTTTTAGTCACTTATTTGCAATCGTTATTTTAATTGTTTGTTGTGTCACACTCCTCGAATTTGTTCTAATTATATAAAATATAATTATATCAATTATAATTAAAATATAACTCTCGTTGTGACTTGTGAGAGTTATATTTTGCCCTCAAAAGAAGTGAAAGGAAAGACCGAAAGAGGATGTGGCTGTTTTAATTAATTAATTCCACACCAAATTCTAGTCAAATTATGGCATTTTTCATGTCATTGTCTATTTATTTTTTGATTTTTTATTGGGTAAATAAATATGCATAGGAGGAGAAAACATTACAAATGTACGCATTTCCAAGTAGAAAAACATTGGGCCATAAACCCAAGCAAAAACAAAACAACAAAACAAGGTAATAAGCCCAAAGCAATAAAACACTTCCAGATTGTCCAAGTAGTTGGCCCAATGTGGATTTTTTCTTTTTCTTTTTTCCAAACCAATGTAGATATCAGTGTCTCAAAATCTAAAACCCAGTCCATAAGCATGTGCGGAATCCATCAACAAATTCTGAAGTGTCTAAAAGGTTTGGGAATTGGCTATGGCAATTATGGAGCTGGTTGTGGTTTGGGGAGTGGATGAGGATTGTGGAAATGAGTAGAAGAGGTTCAAGTGGGCTGGTTCGTAGAAGGAGCTGGGTAGGTTCCAATCCTTCACAATTTCTTGAGCATGAACATTTCTTGATGGAGAATAATTTGTATCTCACCGAATTGACAATTGCATTGAGTGTCTTTGATGGAGTACCACTCAGATTACAGAAAATTATGTTGTTGCGTTCCCTCCATATGTGGCAGACAAAGTTTGCTATCCAAGTAAGTGTTTTTTATGTCATTGTCATGGATCATTGAGGCGTAAGTGAATGCTTACATCAAGAATTTATCAAAAGAACCATCAATTTTGCAGCATATAGAAAATTAGTGAATGATTTGGTTATATGTGAACATTAACGCAGGTTTGAAGAGCAGCATGGTCGTTAGGGGGCCAAAGAATACATGGACAGTCGACAGGAGCATGCCGGTGTCAACATTAATTTCAATTGAAAGAATGGACTAACAAAAAAAATAGATTCATGCACCCAAACGAAATAAACCGGACAAGTCTTTGAGATAATCAAATTTGGCTGTATAAATTTAATAGAATAATGCTTTCAAGGGAGATCCCCTCGTCATGAAGGCAAGGAGGGTGAGTTGGGGGCCTACGATTAGGCCGAAAAATGAAAAAAGAAATTAATAGACAATACGTCAATACTTCTGTACTATCCCTTGTTGGTCCAAGAGAAGGAGGAGGCTATATTTTAGGTCAAAATTGTTGCAGCGTTGTTCTGGCTTATGTTGATTGCAATTTTTGGTGTAACCCGTTATTCCTTACCTTGGGACCAAATTGATTATTGGGCAATAAAAATTGTTGTGTGTGTGTGTGTGACAATCCACTTTGACTTGTTTTATAGTTTACACACTTTTTTATTGCTTCTTCATATGCCATATTTTTTATTAATGCACAACCTAATGATATGTGAAAAAGACATTTCTGATCTGAACTTTTGAATTTGAATGGTTTCTCTCATTTGTTTTTTACATAACTTGGAAAAGTTGATATATATCATATTGCATTGAGCCACTAAGGAAAACATGGGAATTTACCTACCAAAAAAACGTGAGAAAAAGGGGACAACATGGGAATTTACCTACCAAAAAAAATGAGAAAAAGTGGACTTCACTATATTTCTTAAGTTTACTTGGTGACTAAATTCATTGGAATTATTTTTTAGATGACGTACATTTTTCTTTATTTTTACTTTAAAATTTTGGTTTTACTCTGCTAATTAATATTTTAGTAATTATTTTGCAAGATTTTCAAAGTAGAGTAATAGTTTGAAAGTTGGTTGTTGACTTATTCCAAAGTACAGCCCATTGAAGGCAACAAAACAGCCCAATAAAATTAGGCCCAAACCGAGGAATAGTCCAAAGCTAAAACTGCCAGCTAAAAATTACATTTAACAACCATTTAGCCGTTAATGGAGGAAGTTAGCAAACATTCGGGTGGCTGCCCTAATTGAGAACTGCAGGAAGTAGTTCAGTCCGGCGGCCTTGGAGGAGGACGACAAGAGGAGGGCGAGAGATTTCAATCCATGAGGATGCTTCTAGAGGAGTGACAGTCATGGAGAAATCTCAATTTCAAAATCGAGGAAATTGAATATCTGATATTGGTCATGACAAATCTTTGAGTGTTTTTCTTCTCTTTAAAAATTCTTTCATTTCGTTCTTCTCACAAATGATAAATCATAAAAGAGAAGTAGATCTTTCGAACGAGGTTAGTGGCTGTATTTCTTTTTCACTTAATGCTTGCCCATTGAATTGGCTGTATTTCTAATGACGGCTTTGCAACTATTGCAAATGACCAAAACATGATGGTAGTTCAATAAAATTCCATGTGACCTCTCCAAGTGGTGGATGAAGCAGTCCATTTTAAGCTAGTCACCAAGTCAACGCAACCAACAATTTGCCACAGTTGGAAAATTGATGGCCCATAAATATTGACTTGACTTCATTTAACCATTGCACACGAAACTTTGAAGTGAGCGCACTTAGAGAAAACAAAATATTAAATAAAAAAAAATTTCCATACCAGCATGGAATCTCAAATAGTAAATGTGATGACTCAGCAAATGAATCCAAAAGAGTGTTTTTCAACCTACCAAATACTATATATGTATATTTGTGTGTATATATATATAGCTGTCTTAATTATTCCATGTCAAAATAATAATCATCATGGCATTTTTTTTATTCTAATTGTCATGGACCATTCAACAAATGTAAGAAGTGATCGGTATCAACAAAAATGCATTTCAAATTAATCCCACTCTCCAACCCATCCTCACAGAGAAAGAGATAGGGAGAGTGGGCGGTGGTTGGTTGAAGTCTTGTAGGGTTGGTAATTTGTATTTATGGGTCATAATCATATATTGTGAGTATTATAATAAATAAGTAAATTTAAACTTAATTTATTTAAAAATCATGTCAAAAACTCTCAATAATCACTGAATTCGTTTTTATAAATAGGTGATCGTGTTAACCCGTTTAATGATTTATTTATCAAAACGAAACATTTAATATTTAATCAAATAATAATTAATTAAAAAAAATTTGTGTCACAATTAACCCAAATATTCAAAATAAGAAAAAAAAAATCATAAGATATAAAAAATATTTATGTTAAAATGACTTAATTATCCATAATAATTGAGTTTAAATAGGTAACATATTACATAAGTTATATTCACGATTATAACATATTGAGTTAAACGGGTTACACTGATTGAACTCCTTAACCCTAACCCGACACGGTTAAGTAAACGGGTTAATCGTGTCAACCCGTTTAGTACCTGAACTCGTTTAAGGTCAACCCGAACCCGTTTATCTCGTATCGTATTCGAGTTGTGTTGGCGGATCGTGTCGTAATTTGCCATTCTTATTTGATCGGGTGGAGGCGGGTTTGCGAGTGAAATTTTGTGGTATTATTATATAGGTGTTTTAGTCATTTTAATTTAGAGACTTTTAATTTTAAACAAGCATTATAAAATATGGACAGAATTTTCTTTTTCCCATCTTTTGCGGGCAAAATATTACTCTCACAAGTCACGAGAGTTATATTTTAATTATAATTGATATAATTATATTTTATTACAATCCCGAAATAATTAAAACAAATTTAAGGAGTGTGACACTACAAACAATTAAAATATCGATGTCAAGTAATAGACTACATGTTGGACGGAGCACGGTACATGTTGAATCCGATACCACTATTACGGGCCCAGATAAAATAAAAGTAATATAAATTAAAATAAATTTTTTGTCACAATGAACGACACACAAAATAAAGAGGAATTTGAAGATCATAATGTAGAGTCATCTTTTCAGAATTTTTATTACACCATATATGCATAAAATAAAAAATAAAAAATAAACATTCAACATAGATCTACCTTAATTTTTTTTTTTTCCCTTATTGATCATCATAAATATTAAGGATCAAAGCCAAGCAGCGATGGAGCAATCCGTAACAAAGGCCCCAATGCATCTGGCATAAATTTCCTAGCAAAGAGGAAACAAATTGAACTAGTATTTCCATTGTAGATACAGTCCGAACCAAATCGAATCCGATTCAAGAACTCATCCGTGATACTCCACCAGGCGAATCTCCCCGGATGCGGACCAGGCCTTGACCAATCAACCCACGTAATGCTTCTATTAGAATTCAACGCGGGGTACAAAATGTTCACTAAAGTTGGCAAATAATGCTCGTCATTGTAACATGGTACGTGACAATACTCACTAAAAACATTATAATATTGGGTATCTGAAACAACATGAATGGCTAGCTCCCGATTTATTTCGAACCATTGTGACCCTTTTCGCCAATCGGTGATGTTAATCACCGGCCACATCTCACGGTTGTACCGGCCACGGCCAGGCTTTCTTGGGTCATCAAATGAGCCTAAGAAGCTTAGGTTTGATTTGATTAGGTAGTTATAAATTGTGGTGAAATTGAATAATGGAATGCATGTTTCAGAAAGTAACACGAATCTGTGGTTAGAGAAGTCAAGAAGAGCGTTTGCTAGGAGGCGTCTCTCAGCATCAATCATAGACATAGTGCCCCAATACACTTCCTGGAGAAAAATAAAAAAAATAAAGAAGAAGAAGAAGAAGAAGAAGAAGTCAATAGAACATTTTCTTAACCATTAACTTATAATTACCAAAATAGATTTGAATGATGTAATTCAGGTCAATTCGATTTAGATCGGTATGTGGATCTAACATATAGTAAAGCGGATTAAGTTGGAATAACATATAATGGACTCGGACAAAGTCAGTATAAATTGACCGATATATATAAGTCGCATATCGAATTTAAAAAAGGATAGTGTATATACGACCAAATATCTCAAGCTATAAGAACTTTTTATATACAATTTTAACTATATATACAAGAAGAAATCACAAAGATTATATATAAACATTTTAATACAATTATCTATAATTAGTGTATATGCATGAAAGGGATTGAAATATAAAAAGAATAAAGAAATTAGGCATGCAATTAAGCTGACCTTGCTAGGAATTCTTCTTCCATGGAAGACAGAACTTTCAGGTACTGTTTCATTGAATGAAGGGTGTGTATGAATATAAATGGAGTAAAGCCCTTCATGGCCTTTGAAGAACTTCTCCCACAAAAGTGTAAAGGGTAACGACCCTTTCGCCAAGAACATGAAAGCTACTTTTGGGACATGATTTCGAGGGAATTCTTGAATTTGTGCAGCCATGGATGCTTTCTGAAGCAACTCTTCGTCGCTCATATTGTGCATAAGAGAAGTCTGCTCTTTAAGCGAAACAAAAGTATAATTAGACGTTTTGTTTGATGTGGAGGTCAAATTTAGTACCTCATGTAATGGTGGTGGTGGTGGTGGTGGTGACGGTGGCAATGATGGTGGTGGAGGTTGTGGCGACGGTGAAGATGTTGTTTCGGGGGGAAATAATAATGGCAGTGGTGGTGGTGGTGACGATGGCAATGATGGTGGTGGAGGTTGTGGTGACGGTGGAGGCGTTGTTTCGGGGGGCAATAATAATGGCAGTGGTGGTACTGAAGGTGAAATGGAATATAGAGACCTTTGGAAAGTGAATGAAAAGGTTTTGATGTATAAACTAGCTATGATACCTACTGAAAAACCAACGGTAAAGAGAAGCAAGTGAAAGAAATGATTGAACTGAAATTTTGTATAGAAGAACCTATAAATCAATAGGGATGGTTGTTTTTCATCACCCATTATTGTGTGTGTCTGTGTGTGAGAGAGAGAGAGATAGGAGAGTCTTGCATGTTTAAATGGCTAAAGCCAGTGGAACACTTAGAACGAAAGTTATGGTTGTCAATTTGTCAACCATAACTTTATGAATATGAGAGACTTCTTACAGTTGTAAGTGTTAGACTTTGAAATTCATTTGATTACACTTCTTAATAACTTTAATTTCACATGGTACTATTAGAGGTTTAGGTTCTTTGAATCTGAATGCATTTGTCAATCTGCATTTTTTTCTCGAATTCTGTTATGGGTAATTTGTGAATGTTAATCAGATGACTTAATTGGCTCTAATATGTATGACAGACATGTGACGTTATTCTATTATGATATGAACGTGACAGATTCGAAAATAAATAAAGGTAAAATGATATACATTTAACAAAAATTTCGCAAAGACAAAAATATCGTGCAATAAGATTAGTCCTTACCTTTTATGTAAGGAGATTTGAATTCTTCGATTTTAATCTGGGGCCTTAATAGCAATGCAATCTTTGCCATGATTGAGTAACATTCCATATCCCTTAATTCATTGACCACTTGCTACAATTTGATTGGAGAAGAGAAACTTTGGGTTATTTGTTATCTACTTAAACCAAAAGAAACTCAACCAGTAATATGAAAATAGGATAGACGGCTCAATTTAACTCCAACAGTCAAACAGTGTTTGGCTTGGTTTAGTATAACTGACCATTTAACCATGCTTCATGCACGTGCCTTGAATAAGCTACAATATAACAATCCCATAGCTTTTGACCTACAATGCTTTTCTAGAACCATAAGGTCTGAGGCCCAATAACTGGCCCAATGAATTGATGGGTCATGAGTGGCCGTAGGTTTCAAAGATCAGGCCATTGAATTGAAGGGAAGATTTGGACTTATCCGGGCGAAAAGGCAACTTTACCTAACAATTTAAATTTTTCAACACCCAACTTAAAAATGGTATTAAAATACTCCCAATTCTTTATATGGTGTCATGTCAGACTACTGGATAATCTTAAGGAGAATGGTTACGGGTTCGAATGAAAAGAATATAAGATGGTTGTTGTCCCGAATAGGAAGATGGGGATAATTGGGCCTACCACATGAACCTTGCACGCCATAATGCCAACATCAAAAGCTATGATTTATCATTCAATTATTGAGATTCGATTAGATGATGCAGACCCCATGAAACAGTTAACACAGCCCTGGCTTGGAAATTTAATTAGCAAAAACTATATTTTAATTCCTTATATCAAGGTGCTAGAAGTACCAAATTTTGTGGTTTTAGTCTAAAAATCAAATGTAATGCCCAGAAAACAACACAAAAACACAGCTCATCTTTAGGCAACTTACGACCATAACACTCTCCCCAGCTGGCTGCTGCACTATTCCCTAGTTTTGCAGCCGCCCACTATCTGTTCTATAATCCCTTGCTTAGTCCAGTCAAAGTATCTAAGAGAAACCTAACTCATTTCTTTAGATTGAAGAGATTGGGTGGTCTTTCATCCGTCGGAGCACCTTGCGTAGTTTTGGAGATGTTGCTTTGATGATGGTCAGATTTTTTGGTACCTGTTGCTGCGATCAGGCACGGATCTGTGAAGGGGAAACCCCCACTGAAATTTTTTATTATTATATTTTACACCCCTAAATTTATACTTTTTGTATTTATACATATAAAATTTTGAAATTGCCCCCCCTATGAATTCTTAGATCCGTCCCTGGCTGCAATTCTTCCTTAGTGGTTTTCGTTGCAGAACTTTGACTCTCGTTCTCCACAAATCTGAAGCCTGATACTGCAGTTGATAGCTTGGCCTTTATGCCTTTGCAATGATAAAAATTAATAAAAATTAAAATTAAAAAAAAATGTGAGGCTCAATGGCTTCTCCAACCCCATCCCTCAAAAAACAAAAATTACAAGTGGCTGGGTAACTCATACTAGGGTAATCAATGTAACCCAACCTAGGTTAGTGCCCAATAATGATTCTCTTTCTTCCCCTTTATTATTATTAACTTTTTTTTTGGGGGAGGGAGGGTTTGAGATTCAAACCACTCACCTTTTCTCCACCCAGACTAATGTCCTGACTTAGTTCCATATTACCTGTTCGTTTTCTGTTTCATATTTGAAACTCATGTTCTCGCTGCCTCTACGAACACTTAAACTCTCGACCTTTGCCTGTGAAGACTTGAACTCTCAACGACTCTTCATGGTCGTATTACCTGTTCTTTTCATTCATCTTATGTGCATTTATTTTCCTTCCTCTTGTAAGTCGAGCAAATATATGATATTCTCAATGCTAAGAATAATGACAAAGCCGGTCTGAGAATAATATTCTCTATACATTTCAGATGTAAAGCAATATATTCCACAAAAAGCAGTTTTCTTAACAAACAGCAAATCAATTGGTGAAACTTTAGCTTGGAACCTACCAGAACCATCTCTCTTACATGGCAGCACATTTCAAAGTTCTAAGTAATCTCCGAGATTCAACAAAAAAATGCAAAATTTGAGTGAAAAAGAACCCATATATTTCACACAGCCCCAAAGACCCAATTCATCAATGTCACAACTCTGGATTTCAAAACAAACGCTTCACTAGCACTAACTACAACTAAGGGATGTCCAAAACGAAAACGAAAACGAAAACGAAAAAAGAAACGGTGGGGACATGAAACAAGCAACCACCACGTCCTAAACTTGGTAGAATTTGGGACTCGCATCCGCGGACGAGAAGCAACTACCTCAGGTCAATGTCAGTGAGCTGCAGAAATTTTTCTTTTTGCCACTAACAGTTTCAGAGATGTCCCGATGAAATTGCTGGGTTAAGAGCCCTCTCTATTTCCTCCAAGGAACGCCCCTTTGTTTCCACAACGTTACCAGCGATGTACAAGACCGCTAGAAAACAAACCATCGAAAAGCCCAAGTACACTGAGCTGATTCCAAACTTAGTCACAACACTCAAGAAATAGAGGCCAATGACGAAGTTGGATATCTGTTCAAGTCAGAAATAGATAATTTCATAATCAAAGCAAGAGGCACACATAAATCAAGAACAAAATACATAAAAATACTAGAACAGAACCTATTTACTAAGAAACCAGAAGATGCAGCATAACCACTACCACTTCGCTTTTTGTCTTACAAATTCTCTTCCCTACACTAGTGGCGGACTAGAGAGGATATCTTTAAGATTAAAATATAACTCCCAGATAAAAAGGTCATTATTCTTATAGGCCATAGTTCTAATATGGTGTAGGAGAAGTATGGGTGTATATATCAATATATACTCTTGGAACCAAATTTTTCCTGTTTGATAATTTACAGTCAACGGTTATCCAACAAAATCTCTGTTTGCCTCCCCTCTATATGAAGAAAAGATGAAGCAAAAATAGTGTGAAAATATTCTGTAACATGCATTTGCTTCGGTGAATGTTAAAACTCCAACTCGCTGCAGCAAAGAATCACAAACACAACTTATTCTGATTCTTGACTTACCCAATGCATGCCAAGCGATAATGCAACTGCCTTTGCTCTAATTCTGGAGGCAAATATCTCTGGAAGTAGAAGAGCGGGTACAGGACCAGCACCAAGTGAAAAGGACAGGACGTAGCTGTGTACGTAAAATGATAGCCATTCAGATTTCCCAATTTATATGGAGCATAGAGATAGAAAGATGAAACAAGCAAAAAGACTATCTTATTTAGCAAAGGAGGGTAACTAACTTACAGAACAGTTCCAACAACGGCAAGGGTGCCAGCATATGGTGCCAGGGCCTTCCAAGTGAAAGACAAGGAAAGCAGCAACATTGAAGCAGCCTAGGAAAAGGGATATGGGGGCAGGTGAACACATCAAAAGGAAAAAAAAAATAGGTATAAGCATATCAAGAAAATGCTAGAAATATTATTTAGAAAAGTAAAAAAAGGGAAGATAATCAAAGGACTGAAAGATGAGACATATAGGTAGAAAATTTGCCAGAAATGTTCAGCATGTTGGAATTGATTATGGTTATGTCCAGTTCTATACCATGTATACAAAAGTAAATAACAATGCTTTCAGCAGGCAGTTAATAACAATAGCAATAATAAAATCCAGTTTCACATCTCAAGCAACATAATAGTATTAAAGGTGGGAATATTGATGTCCGTGTGCTTCAAATGAATAAAACAGCTTCAGAATCAAATTACCATGCCAGCAAAGCTTGTCATCAGAAGACTTTTCCTTCCTTGCTTATCCATCAAAGAGGATGCTATAGTTGTGCCTGCAAGACAATTCAAGTCCACCACATGAAACATTCTGTGACCACTCTGAAATCAAATTTACTTTGTTAAAAAAAATAAAAATAAACAAAGACCAACCAAAGACATTTGATGCTCCAACGAGAGCACTAGCTGCAACATCAGATGCAATTCCAGCACTGCGAAACACAGCAGTAGAATAATATACCACAGCGTTTATTCCAGCCAATTGTTGGAACAAGAAAAGTGCGGCACCAACACTAACAACTGCAGCAAGACAAATACAAATTGTACTTAAAATTTTGAGTAGGAAGAACCAAATAATAAAATAATATGTCATAACTCGGAAATGATAAGCATAGCTGTACTACATCCTTTAATTATACTTGCTGGAACCACACCGAAATTATTCCAAAGATGTCAAAACTGTTTTCGAAACCAATAATACAGGAAATGTGAACCGGACGGGTTACCGTTCAGATGGCAAACCATATTCAGATTCAACTATTAGCCTCTTCCCCCATCACATGCTTAATCAATTTATTGGTAAAGACCAGATTGTACTAAATTCAAAACACAAACTACAAAGAAACAGTAAATATAGAAGGAAAATTTTTAAATGAATCCTTTCTCATGTTAGGTGGATGTGTCTTTTGGCCTCCACACAGAAGGGTGAGACCATGTGGCTAATTAACTAGAATATCAATACCATTCTTATTAGAAAGCAGTATACTCATATATGGTTGAACTGCATATATACTCATATATGGTTGAACTGCATATATACTAACATATGGTTGAACTGCATATATTCCTTTTGGATCCACAAGGACTAGATCTCAACATTTTTTGAACAGATGATGCTTAATTTTAAAAAAAAAAAAGCCGAAAAATAATTCTAATCTTAACCACATGAATGGATCTATCAACTTCCATATCCTGAAAAATTCAAGGACATTCGTTTTCCATTGACGAATGCAGAAGTATACATTACTGTAATGGAAAGATCTTGAATTTGCCACTTAGACGGTTAGACCTTTATAAGCACTTTATATTCTATGCACATGTACAAGAAATTTGGTTATCCAAGGCATGTTTAACAGTGACTCTTGCATCTCCATAAATAAGCCAAAAGATTAATTTTAGTGTCTCAGACTCTCAGGTCCACATTTTGTGTACCTTTCCTGTAGCGGCTACTGAAAAGATCAAACCACCCAGCTTCGGGTTCTGAAGAACCTTGAGCCGCTAAATCTAAATCATTCATAACCTCAGCAACTCTTTCTTTTCCAAATAGTGTTCTTATGGCTGTCTCAGCTTGGGAAATTTTTCCTTGCTGCAAAATAAATGTGTCTGGCTTGGCATCATTAACATCAAGCAAATAACCTGAATTAAATATGTTCCACATACATCATAACCAAAGATAAAATTAGGCAGTTCCAACCAAATGTGTTGGACTAGCAAAGAGAACCTGATAAAGCCACCGAGGACTTTCTGGAGAAAATGTCATTCCCAGGGCCAATAGAACAGATGGAACAACTGCAATACCAAACATTGTCCTCCACCTGATAAAAATGTGGAAAGAAAAGAATAAGACAGACAGAAAATGATGATAACAATTAAACTAACTTCTACATATAAAGAAACTCAGGGAAAAGCGAATATTAAATAGTAATAAAGTTCACAACCAGGAGCCAGTATCAACTGAACCGCCCACCTCACTAAAAATGATAAAAGTATGAATTCTTTTTATGGCTCAAAGACTCAAAGTTGAGTGACGTTTAATATTCTCAGCATAAAATCCATAATGGAGTTAAAGTAGTGACAGATGAGACTTTAAAATTAAAAAACCTATTTGAATTTGGCTTCGTGCTGGTCAAATCAAGACCGGCACAGAAGTTGACCATATAAAACAAATTGGACAATAAACAGAATGGTCCCTGATAGTTCAAAGCTTACAATCTCAGATGTTATTATCCTAACGATAATATCATAAATTCTCCTTATTCTCTCGAGAATTTTAAATACTATAAGAAATTAACCAAATAAATATCCCAATTGAAAATTGAAGGCATATGATTACATTGATTCTTTTCTTTTTTTTTCACATAAAGAAAAATTCCCTAGAGTTGACACACAGTAGGCAGTAGCTTACTGAGAGAACATTGATCATTCTGGCCATTAAGAGTAACTGGCTTTTGGGCATATCTGACATCATGGGATTGATGAACAGAATAAAAATTATTGTTTGGCACCAAGAATGGAACCCAGAACAAGAGGATCAATAAAAAATAAAAATTGCATTAAAGTACAGGGGAAAAATTAAAAATTGTTTATCGTAGTTTCTGGTATTTGAATTTTGCTTTCCCTTTATGTCTGTGAGCATAGTGCCTTTTTTTTCTCATCACAAGCTTCTAATACAAAACAAAACTCAAACACTATAAACTGCCTCTTTCTCAACTAGTTGTATATGTAATAACTTGTGACTTTGTTCTTTCGAGGCCATCTCAATGAAATAATTAAAGCGGACGTGACTCTAATTAACCCCCCTACTTTTGGCAGTTACAAGAAAATACAGTGATTAATCAGTAATACAAATTTACAAGTAACAAGATATCTCAACCTGAGTTTATGGATTTATCTGTTAGTTTTAACTTTAACATTCCAGCATTAAAACATTTTTTCTTGCAATTTGTTGGATAAAGAGTATGCAAAGAGAATATACCATAGAGGGTTTCCCGCTAAGGGTAACCCAGCCACCAAAGCTGCAAGAATCCCAATACAAATAAAAAGTTGGTTGACAGATCCAAGTGTGCCGCGGATTTCAGTAGGTGAGATCTAACCATTATGAAAGTTTGATCAGATAAAAAGTGAAAAAGAATTCAATGAACACACACAAAATGATAAATTAAAACGAGAAGTTATTACCTCAGATATGTAAAGTGGCACAATAGCAGATGAGATGCCAATTCCAATACCAGCAAGTAAGCGGCCAACAATCATTGTCTGTACACTCTGGGCCGTGGCACTGAAAATTTTGGTGACTTTATTGAGACATCAGTTTTTAACAACTATAATCTAAGATCAAAAACTCATTGTCAATGACAGAGCTGACCAAAGAAATGCTCCAACTGCAAGTGGAATTGCATCCAATTGAAAAGTTCTTGTTCTGCCAAACTTGTCAGCCAACGTGCCACCAGTAAATGAACCAACAGTGGCACCAGCAAGAAGTGCGCTAACAACCCATCCTATGTAAACAACACAAAAAATGGTAATCTTGGAAAACATAAATAGTTTGAAATTTAATCGATAAAAGAGAGACATCCAGCTGCACCTAGCCAAAACCCCAGAACATAGCATTTACAGATGGATAGCTTCGGAGTCGTTAACAAGGACAGTCACTAAGTAACAGAATGTGAAGATTTGCAGATACAACAAATAACACTTGCCTTGTAAGACAGTGTTTTCAACAATTCCCAGATCCTTAGCGAGGTACTCAAGTGCACCATTTACAACCCTGTAGCAGATAAGAAAGAGCGTAATGAAACAGTATACCTAATGCATATTTAGCTGCATGGGAAATGGCTGATTACTAATGCCACAGCCAGTAGTTAAGATTCTAACAACTGCTACCATGACACTTATTGGATATATGGCTGTTGAAGATAACCCAAATCTTGGATTGAAGAGTTCAATGGAAAAAAGAGAGCAAGAGAAACAGAAAGATGGGGGAGGGGGAGATATTTATCTTTGAACTTAAATTTAAAACATACCCTAAATGATATCCAAATAAAATGGCTCCCAAACAGGCAACACCAACATATGGCAAAACAGTTCCAGAAGATTTCCCTTGGATTTTGGCAGGAGCAGCATCTTCAATATCACCTTCTATAACCCAAATTCATATGATGCTTGTTAGAAAGTATTGAATGGATAATCCCAACTCCCAATTATCAGTCCATGAACAAAAAACATTAAACTTCTAAATAGTAAAGAGGAACTTTAGCAATGAAGAAACATAAAAAAATATACAGATCCCATGCCATAAAACTGCAATGTGAAAAAAAGTTGTAACTATTATGTCAACTTAGATCTGTCTATCTTTGGAATATTGTCTTCCATAACATAGGTGTGTTTGAAAGCTTCTTATCCAACATTAAATTAAAATAAAAAGTGTTTGAAACCCACATTGATGAGGAGCAAGCAAAGCATCATCAATATAACCCAAATGAGAAAAAGTAGACTAGTATCATTGCTCTCCATTCCAAAACCGATGAACAGTATCACCATGGATAAACACATCTACACAAGTAGGAGGCATCCCCCTTATAGGCGCCACAAGAACACTCGGAGCAATATAAGTCAAAAATCCATCTACAACTTGACAAGATAAGGAACCACTCATGTCATTGATAGATCATCTTAAAATCAGAGCAGAGCAGCAGCAAAGCAACTTTCCCGATGCCATAGGGAATAACAACTTGAAACTGCCTTCTATCGTAAGATTCAATTCTTCCATTCAAAATGCCAACTTTATCATGTTTCCTCACTACACCATCAAGAATACACATACATTGCAAACCTAGCTCATCATTGTAATTTTTTATATTTTTCTCTTTTCGCTTTTTCAAAAATGTGCATCAGAAAGAATTGTCAGCTGAATCAACCAAAATACCGCACCACAATGCACTGTTCATTTCACAGAGTCGAAGTGCACATGGCTCTAGGAGCAACAGAGGCTGCAGGTCATACATACTACTTATAAAGAAAACAGAATTCATCAAATGGAAAATAAAACAAAAACCAAATAAATAGAAAATTTCAGCATTTCTACTAAATTATAAGAGATGAAGCATGAAAACAGAAATCATTCAAATAATATCCGGTAGCAACTAAGAACAATCACCAGTTCATAACATAATTCATGGTTTATCAAATTAAGCAAAAGCTCGTGTACGAATTTAGAATAACATCTCAGAGAATTAAATAACACATGGAATCAACAACAACAATCAAGCCCTTTTTCCCAACTACTTGGGTCTGGGACATCAATCATATGTTTCCATCCCACTCTATTGAAGATCATTGCGTCAGTCAACATATAGAATCAACTAAAACCACAAATTTGGCAATAAATTAATCCATTGAAGGAAATGGAGAGCTAAGCAAGATATATAAACGAACCATAGGCTTGAGCCTTGACTGATCTGCCCTTGGCGGATGACATAAACACGTCGCCGACACTTCTCCGGGCCCGGGTAAGCTCGGCCTCCATATCGACCGAACCGAGGCGTAATCCGAAGCAAGAGGACCTCTCTGTCATGCAGAGATTGTTCAAAGCCAAACTTCGCTTCCTCAATTCACCAAAACCTTGTAAAACCCTACGGTTTTGAGTGTGGAAAGGTATGTTCCCTTTGACTGTATATGCTGAAGCTTGCATTTTTTACAATTTAACCTGCTGGTAAGATCTCAATGACCTCAAAAAAAGTCAACAAAGAAAACCGTCAAGAAATTAAAAATTGAAACGGTTATAAAAGTCTCGAGTGTGTGTTTGTAGAGAGAGAAAATTAATAACATTAACATAGCAATGAAAGCAATTGTAGTGAAGAATTAGATTGAAGACAATGCTACTTACAAAACGATCGTATCGATCTTAATTTCAAGAAAAATCAAGCGTAATAAGAAGTTCAGTGAAGAATCGAGAGTTGAATTTACCAAATAAAATGCTTGTATCAGTAACAGAATCTGCGATCTTCGAGTGGCTGGCTTCAACTTTCTGGCTCTAGTTTCTCTCTCTAAGTTTCCGCCTTGGGTGGGTCTCTCGGTTTCAGTTTGTGGTTTTAGTGCTAGAGAGTGGCTTTGGAGGTTCCGCAAAATTAAGAGGAAATATATATATACATATATATGTATGTATAGATTCATAGATAAATATGAGATTTGAATAGGAGGAGACTGTTTGCTTACTAGTTACCAAACAGAGTTGGTGGAGAATTCAACGCTGTTTCGTTTGGAGTTTTTTCTTTTTTTCATTAATTATTTTTTCTAATTTGTGAAACTTTATTTTGTGTCATGAAAGTAAAGTATTGAACAGTCGGGAATTAGATTCGGATAATAAATTGGAATTTTGGATGATTTTAAAGTTGGATTTTGGATTAGATTTCGATCGCGTTGGAGATGTCGAAGACGCACGTCACCGACTTTCTGTGCTTACTGCTCGCACGATAAATAGAGAGAGGGAGGAGATGCCACGTCATCACGGAACTCCTAACCCAGAATTTTGGAATAAATTTCCGAAAGACCTCTATCAGCTGAGTTATTTGCAACGTCAAGGAGTTGTTTGTAAACTTGTGATAGCCAAGGAATTTTTTTAGTAAGAGGGCGGCTTTTTAATTAGAAAGACTAAATTTATATAATGGGTTTATTTTTATAATTTTAATGTAATTATCTTCATAAATTTTTAAAAATTTAAAGTATAAAATGCAAAATAAATATTGGGGCTAATTATAATTTTAGTGAAGCATTTTCATAAATTTTTAAAAATTTGAAGTATAAAATGTAAATAAAAAAAGAATTCAGCTAGGCCAATTATAATTTTAGTAAGGGCATTTTCATAAATTTTAAAAAATTTGAGAAGGGTATTTTCATAGATTTTAAAAAATTTGAGATATAAGATAAAAATATAAAAAATTCAGTGAGGACGAATGATCACCTAGTCTTATGTTGGGTCCTATGGGAATGTTTTTGCAATTTTTTCAAAAAGATTGTACTTCAACGGAACAAATTTAGTCCCCTTGCATAATTAGTAGGTTTCATAGTCAACAACCTAACAGTCATAAATTATGTGGCTATTGAAAATGAAATATATATTATATAATTTAAGATACATTGCCTATAATTTTGAATTTGATGCAAAGGCCATTGTCTCCACTAGTCCACTGTAAATGGCTCGTGTTGGCATCCCATGTAATTATTGATAATTTTATTGACGAGGATATTGTGAATATCTCCTTCAATGTGAAGTTGGAGGTTTTTTATCTTGTAATTAGTTTAATATTATTCCTCTTCTTTTTGGCAAAAAATAAATAAATAGTAAACAAAAAGAAAAAGAAAGAAAGAAAGGACATATTATGCAATTACGTAGTACTTGACAAAAGAAAAAAAGAAAAAAAAAAAAAAAAATTGAATGTCTTATCCCTACATGAGAAATTGGGGGAAATGAATGTTTTACCAAATTATTTTTTTTTATTATTATTTTATTTTATAAATAACATCTTACAAAATTATTATAGAGGAAAGTTCTATTCTTTATAAACTCCAACTCTCGTAGAGAGTTTAATTTGTTTTTCAAAGTGGAAAGAGCCTAGTTGCGGCAAGGTGGGAATTCAAGTCTTTGTAGACTCAAAGTGAGTATGAAAAATAAAAAATAAAACATAATAAAATAACTTGATGATTATCTAACTTGATAACGGTAGTGTATTAGTTTACCGTTTAAGTCATGAAGTGTTTGCTGCATTTCAGGGCAAAAAAACTTGATTGAGCCCATGCACCACACTTACAAAAAAGTGGACCCCACCATTATTGTGAGTGACTTAGTGTCTTTTCTTTCGAGCATTAAAAAGACAAATCATTTTTTTGTTACTAACGTCAACAAATTCAATTTACTTTCGGGTGCCTAACGGCAAAGAAAAAATTTGTTATATATAAATTTAAATTTTAAGAGAGATAACTGAGATATAAAACGTAAAAAATTCCATGTAGAATGTTTAAATTAACCTATGTGATGTGCGAACTAAGTGAAATTTATGAAAATGATAAAAGCCCCTACTCGTACATAAGTGATTTGAAGTGCGCGAAAAATAAATAAATAAATAAATTGACAGCGCTCTAATAATAAACTCCAATTCTCCACTTTTTACCTTAAACCCGGTAGGAAATTTTGTTTATTCAATTAACCCCTTTCCAAACCACAAATGAAACAAAAGCTTACCCTTTCGTCTCTTTTCTCTCACTTTCTTTCTCACTCCAAAATATCTGTTCGTGCTCATTTTATAGCCTTAGTTCTGTTTCTTGTCAAAAGACTAGGTGTGCAAGTGCAAGGTGTTTCCTTTTCTGCAACTCGTCCATTATTTTTGTGTTGAACCCTATCCAAATAACAGAAGAGGTTCGTTACAATCTTCTTATATTCATTCCTCAATTTCCTCTCTCTCTATATAATATGTGTGTGTGTATATATATATATATATACATGTTTCTGTGTGATTATCAGGTTTGATTAAGATTACAGGTCTGAACAATCACTGAAGTTATTGACCAAACACACATTTCAGTTCCTAACACGCTTTCCCATTTTCTTCTTTCATTGTGTATATACACTTATACATATATGTATCTGTGTGAAATTATGTATGTTCTTTTTTATTTGGAGGTTATAATTTTAGGCATGAGGACCAACTTCACTGATATTGTAAAATTTCTGTAATTAGGTCAATGTTGTATGCAGTTTCTGCTCCTAAACCTTGCATATCCTACCCAAGAAGCCCTCATTTTCATAGAAGGCATTTAGTTCCAACAAGGCTTCGTGTATCGGCTTCGTCCTCACCGAATCCAAATGGCTTTGAAAAAGTGGAGTACACTCCGTGGCTGATTGTTGGATTGGGGAACCCCGGAAACAAGTATCATGGAACTAGGCACAATGTAATCAAACATTTTTATAATTTGTGGCTTCAATTTTTCGTCTTTGATTGTTTAATTGTATCTGTAATCCAACATTTTTATAATTGATGGCTTCAATTGTTTCATGTTTGAATGTTTAATTGTGTTTGTTTTTATCACTAATCAGTGTTTACATTATCTTCAACACTAACAATTTTGTGGGAGATTTTGTATTAGGTTGGTTTTGAAATGATCGATCGAATATCTCAACAAGAAGGCATTTTGTTGAACACGATACAATCAAAGGCGTTAATTGGAATAGGTGCTTGTTTCAGCTTTAATTTCGTTTAGTTTTCTTCACTTATTTTATCTAATTGTTAATTTTTTCCCCTTTCACTGTGATTTTGATAGTCATTCAGATCTTCTTTGTGCAATCAGTACAGGTTCTATCGGAGAGGTACCAATTCTGCTAGCAAAACCTCAAGCCTACATGAATTTCAGTGGAGAATCGGTTTGTTCACTCTTTTTTATTTCAGCTATTAATGTTTACTACTTTTATTCTGTTGTCTACTTTCATCCGTAATTAGCCCATTATATTACTGGCATGTTTGGACAATGATGGTATATTCAGTGACTTAATTATGTTTTCACAGTTTTTACTGTGAGAAATGAGAATTATCATGACGAACATGGCCATCATTGAAAATTAGGGATAGGGTCTTTTTTATTTTATATATATATATATATTAGTAACTTTTTTGTAGTTTCTTTTTGCTTTTTCCTTCTACAAGAAATAATTTCAATTCTAGCAACTTTGGCGCTGTCCCATATCTTAGTTGTATTGATAGCTCCAAAATCATTGAAAGTTGCAATCTTTAGGATTAAATTTACCTTTAAACGCCGCATAAAACACACTGGAGCTGTTCAATTTCCATCGGCATGAACACATTCTGTATATAGATGATTTCAGAATTGTAGCTAATCTACCTCTTTATGTAACTTTGCCCATCTATTATTGGACCCCAAATCACCCCAATTAGAAATGTAAATCTGTTGGTACTTCTTCAACGATGAGTATTGCTGGATGAATGTAAATACGGTCCAGCAACCAGGAATGATGTTGAGTAAGAAGAAAGCTAATGCTTGATAAACCAGATTTGGCTATTTTATGAACCAAGCAGACTAAATGGGATATATTCATAGGCATTTAGTTGTATAGAACATTAAGTGCTGCCAGTGTTTTCCTATTGCTGTCTGCATACTTTTTCTAACAGAAATTACTTATAAATATATATATTCTAAGAGAAGGATCTCTCCTTATGTCTCTATATAATGAGCTTTCAATAAAGCAAGTATTTTATATTAGAGAAACTGCCTTATTGGAATAGTGGGCTGGACAGTGGACACGCACAAGACATAGTTTTTATACGTTATACTGGAAGCTAATGGTCCTTGCCTCTTAGTTTTATTCCTATGCAATAGTAGTGTTATCAATATTTTGTTGTGACCTTACTGTTCCCCATTGAGTAAACCTTTGGATTTTGATATGTTGAGAATTTTCGCTGAAAAATGGTCTTTGATCTTCTTCTGATCCTATAATTGCTTGCTATGTTTTGCAGCTTGTTTCACTTTATATGGTTGGTAATTTTGTGGCAGCAATCTGTTGGTCACTGTTGTGATTGCTCTAAAAGGCCAATTACATCATAGGTCTAGATCAGCGTGAAAACAACTAAAATTTGTTCGTATTTCTGTTGGTTTGTTTTGATTTGTGTCAAAATCATGCAACCTTTTAAATTAAATATATTGGTAGATCTGTGAGATTCTTCCTGGAGCTTTGTTTCTTCAATATGCTCATGAACTTTGGATAGTTTCTGTATGCCAAATCATTGTATGCTTTTAGAACTATGTCAAGCCACTTATTATCCCCTCACAACACTAGGTCAGGCCTTCTGCTTACAATGCAATCCACAATTTGTGGTCATTAAGTCTTCACTTTTCAAGCCTGAGAAATTTTACTTTTGATTCCTTGTAGCTGCAAATATTCAATTACTGACATGTATCCATGTATGTCATCTGGGTTTGATTCTGGCTTTATATGCACATTAAAGGATGTTGCAACCTTTTTCTTCATTACGTATCTGCGTCTAAATTCTCATTTTTCTCGTTCTGACATGTTCTCCAGCTCTATTATGAAATGAAAGGACTTTCGTCTAAGTCCATGTTTTCTTAAAGCATTATCAACTATCTCCAATTTTTCTTCTCTTATTTCTTTCTTTTTCTTCTTTTCATTCTCAAGGTTGGACCACTTGCTGCATATTATCAAGTACCCTTACGTCATATCCTACTGGTATGCATCTTCACATCATAGTGTAGCGTATAGTATAATTATTCATTGCATGCCGTTACTTGATATTTTGTTGGGTATGTTTGACATCACATGTTTTTGAGACTTGCTCATATAGGTTTATGATGAGATGAGTTTACCAAATGGTGTTTTGAGACTTCAGCCTAGAGGAGGACATGGCCATCACAACGGGTATGTTCCTGGATAACATTTGTAGCAAAATTTGCAGAAGCCCATATACTTTACTTTTTATTAGATTTAGACTATGGTTATTCTGAGACGAATTTTTTGGTTAAGTATGATTATTCTGACTCTTTGTTTTTCCCTCTGAATGTTATTATAGTTTATGACTAAAAACAGGAATTGCTGAAAATTATTTTTATGATCAGTCTTGTTAGTTTTCCTTTTAGGTTTATTATTTTTCATAGGAGAGCCCTGATATTTATTGCTAATCTATACGCATGTCATATTTATATATAGTCTTCAACTAACTCAAACAGGTCTTTTCACAGGCATTTGGATATCTAATTTTCAATTAACTCAAATGGCTTTATCCCGATCATTTTGAAATGAGTTTGTGATTCATATTTTTCCATTCATCTATGATCAAGGATCTATTTTTTCATTAAATCTTAGGTTATATTAAGACTCAACTATTGTCCTCCAGGATGAGATTCCATTTAGTTCTTAATAATTTCAGTGTTTTACTGCCGTGACCCTGTCTTTATCGCACCTTAATCTTGAATGGTTAAATCATGCTAATCCCAACTGCTGCAGCTGTGCAGAATATGACAGGGCAACCTATGCATAATAGTATTAGAAATTGAATGGATACTTCATGCATACAGAAAGGTCTCTATAATTGATTTCTTGTTGCAGAGTGAAGAGTGTGATGGACCATTTGGATGGTCGTCGAGAATTTCCGAGGTTATGCATAGGTTGGTTTCTTGAAACCTTAACTGCCTTTAGCATATTTATATCCTAAAGTTCCAGTGTTATAGCCTGTTGTTGTTTCCATACATAAAACAGTTTTCTGGTTGTAGGCATTGGAAATCCACCAGGTGCTATGGACATGAAAGCTTATCTTCTACAGAAGTTCAGTTCATCAGAACAGAAGCAGGTAAAATTCAACTTTTTGCACAGTTTCACTTGTGCTTATCTCGTTGGACTACAGTCTTGATCTAATATGATCAGTCATGTGACAATAGACTAGATCTATCGTTTCTTCACCTATTTCATGAAGTTTATTCTTGTCCCTGAACAACATTTGTTGGGTTTTTTTGTTTTATTGTTTTGGACATCCTGGTGTAAGTTGTTTTTCCTTTTTTAATATGTTATAGTTTGAGTTGCACACTAGTTTACTGATAAACTCAATTAAGTGGAGCAGATATGGCTCTGCAGTTTCCTTGACTAAATAGGTTAATTTGATTAAATTTGTGGAATCAATGATTACTTATATTGTATCTCTCTCTCACACACACTTACTCACACACACAAACACATGGTGAGAATTCTAATGTTATGGGCTATCTGGGCAGGTGGATGCAGCATTGGAACAAGGAGTTGAGGCTTTGAAGACCCTGTTCCTCAATGGATTCAACAGCAATATCACTAGATTTAATCTGGTGCAGAAATACAAGTATCACAAAGTTTGATTCTCACTTCCAAAAGGTTATAGAGGGCAGTTACAAAATCATGTCGCATTGCCTCCCATTGTGGGAGGTTCATGTGTTCGAATTAGTTTTTAAAATTCTTGATTGATAAAAATATTCTAACACATAGTAATCTTGTTAATTGTTATGTTATCCTTTAACACATTATCAGTCAATGGTGTCTCTTTTACATTTCATGGAGTCTGCATACTTTGTTGGCACATTTTGTGAACATAGAAGGCCTTAGAAATCACAGAAAGTTATATTCAAATGATAGAACTTTCCTTAACTGAAAGTGCATTTTTTTTTTTTTCAAACACATAATTTAAAATAACTTCCGGACTTGAGTTTCTGTACATTATCATGTCAAAAAATTAAGATGGCCAATTTATTCACCTCAAATCATAGAGCAAGTGACTAATATTCTTGTTTATCATCTCTGTTCAGATTTTTCATGTGAAATATTGCTGCTTGACTTGTTCAACCTATTGACTGCACTTATCATCGTCGTAATTGCTTTAATTCCATATGAATAAAGTCTGTGACATGAATTCTCTCTCCAATCTTTTCTATTGCATGTCATTGCGCTTACTATATTTAACTTTGTAAAGTCATTTTTAATAATCTCGTCCCATGTTATTTTTGGTTGCCCTCTCAGTCGTTTACTTCATAATAACTAGTCTTTCTCGCGGTCACTATGTCTCCCATGCCTTTCCTCTAGTACTTAAATGATACAGCTTGACTTGACTACCAAACTATTACTGAACCTGATTAAACTCAAAAGCCAAACTCCATTTATTTATTTATTTATTTCTTTGTCTAATGACAAAGGGAAGCTAGGGTTTCTCACAAGGGAGAAAAATCATTATCCACCCATGATTATAAAGCAGGGGTGGTTTCTTATTGTAATAAAAGCAAACAAAAGCTCCAACAGCACAGCATAGGCTTGAGGACCAAATGGCATTAGTTTTACAAAGCAAGAACATTAAGCATAGGCATCAGGGTTTTGTAGGAGGTAGGCTTCCACAACCTTGTACATTCCTGTGGCCTTTTCCTTGCCAGCCTTAATGAACTCTTCTGAGAGCTCACCATCACCCTTGTTGTAATATTTGCTTGTCATCTTCGAGACAGTTCCGTCGTTAAGAGATGGTTCAAGCTTAACCTCATAAGAAATTGATTCAATCTGCTTGTCCATCGAGGCATCACCTTCGATCAGAGTATAGTTGTAAGTGAACGTCTCTTCGTTGAGCTCATCAATTCGGTACTTCAAATAATTCAAAGTGCTTCCTGCATGAAACACACCCATGAAATGCATGTTTCTATTATGTAAAAAGCATTAGTTTGATCATTATATATGATTTTCTATTATAGGGTTCGAATCATAGAAATAGTCTCTCCGCATGTGGGGGTAAGGGTATGTACGTCTGACCCTCCTCAGACCCCGCAATGGCGGGAGCTACTTGTGCTGGACTAATCCTTTTGTGTGTTTATAGTAAGCAAACTAACCTTCAGCAAAGTTGATCTGTTTGATGCTGCCAGCCCCTCCATTTCCCTGAGTAATCTCAATGCTTTTGATAGCCTGTGGCATGATTTTTGGGATTAAGTTGTGAGAGTCAAGGACTGATGCCTTGAATAACCTTGCTGGAGCAATGGTGTTGGTATATTCCTCAGTGAAAGTGGTGACACCCATTGTTTGCCTAGAGTTTTGAAGATAATCAGGGAGCAACTAAGATGGGAGCTTGGTTGAGGAGAGAATTTTGTTTGGATAAGAACAGGTGGTGAGAGGATGGTATTTATAGGTACAAGTCAGGCGATCCTTTGCTTCTGAAATTGTTTTTAATTGGTTCATAGCAAATATATATACATCTCCTTGTCCTGATTTGCATGAAACCACATTATATTACTAGAGGCGGCATACTTAATCCAAAAATAATGGATTACTCTAAACTAAATTACTATATCCTGCATATTAATTCCTAATAAGGTCATCATAGAAGAGATAGAGAGATCAGAAGATAAGTGTCACGTCTCACGTTAGATAAGGGGAGGGGTTGTTGGCACTTATATATGTGAATATCTCCTATTTTTATAGACGTATTAGGAAAACTGTAAACATAAAGAGTGTAAAAAGCAAATAGTACACTCTAACTCTCACGTTCCGAGTGAATTTGGTTGTGACAGTAAGTCATACTCAATTATAAATACACACAAGTTAATTCCTTTTCCTTACAAAATGAAGGATCACAATTGTATATAAGCATGTGAATTAGGTCATGACAATAAGTCATGCCTTGCACTAAATTGCATAGACACACAATTCCTTTTCCTTGGGGGAGAGGACAAAATGAAGAATCTATTTAGACTCTGCTGAAACGTAATAAAATAAAAAATAAAATGACACTCATTTACCAATGTTTACTTTGTTGGGATAGTTTAATGTTGTCTCTATGCATTTCACTAGTTCAATTCATTGTGGGACAAGGGCTTGTTAGTAACACAAGAAGCTATTTTTTATTTTTATTTTGTTCCTTATTGAAGGATGTTGTATACTTTCTGGCTTCATTAATGAAAGGAATTAGTTACCCACAAATCGCTCCCTCTTTATATCTCTTCCCAGTGAACATACACCAATACATTGATATAGTCAACAACTTCTTTAATATATATATATATGTAATCAACAACAATTAATATGAATGTTCACTTAGTATATGAGTGCTAACTGCCTGCAAATGTGTGTGAACTCATTAGATTAAATTTCAGACTTCATACTAGAGCCGACCGAGCCAAATGGACAACACCAAGGATTAACTGGTTGTTCTAATATCATAATTCTTATATAACGAACACGGATCATATTAATTATGCAACAACTTTAAATCGCTTATATAATAATTACAGCCTACGCAACAAATTTACATAGCATGTTGCCTAAACTAGATCCCGATTCCTTGCCTAAATTTACATAAGGACCTTGCATATCCTTATACTCGATTATTAAAATAGAGTTTCACTCCTTTCAAAAATGAAAAGTAGAGAGTTCGAGTCTCTTCAAGAACATTGTGAAGGTTTATTGCCAGGACTAAACTACACCTCAAAAAGAATGCACTCCATTGAATTAGATGTAGTACCCTTCTCTAGTTCTCTTAATATATTGAACCAGTTTTAGGATATAAATTTTTGTTTCAACTGTCATAGAAAAAGCAATGCAGCCAACAAAAACCACTCCAAAAATTTACCCGAGCCAAAAATCCAACCAACTTTGAGATTGGCCAGTGGCCTATTTTTTGAAAATCTTTATGAGCTACAAAGCTATGCTAATGTTAATGTTCGTCACAAACTCAGAATAGCTTCCATAAATAACATACAGTATGGAATTAAAAGAGTTTTAAATCCATCAACTTGTACAAAAAGTAGATTAATCTTGTTTGAATCAACACAATAAGGGATTTAATTGTAGCTTGTGGATTACCGGTGCTCGAAGAAGCTTAAGAATTACAAGGGGCTGTACAAGAATCCAGAGGAACCCTCAACCTGCAATCCCAAAGGTCTCTCACAACTTCATCAACCAATATCTGGAGTATGTCACCGTCGATTTCGGCACCGGTTTCAAATTCTTCAATCTCAAAATCTGTCCATTTCCCCAAGGAATGACTCATCTCCCTCTCTATTAGCTCATCTGGAATCAACCCAGCTAAATCTGTCCACTTTCTGATCTCCTCGACAACCTTATGAATCAGCATTGCAGCATCCATGCATAATGGCAATCTTGTCCATGCCCTGAACCCAGATTTAGAGTATCGATCGTATCTTGAGTCTAGATACTCCATCACACAATCAAAAACAAACCCCTTAACTAGATTCCCCTCTTTGGCATCCTTCAAACCGAGAAAGCAACTAGAATTTGTCCATAAGAAACCAGCAAGAGTTTCCAGTTCATCTAGAAGAAAGCGGCATATGGAAAACTCTTCGATTCCATCTGAATTATGTGGAGCAATGTTTCCAAATACCAGTTCAGCACTCAAGATTACCTCCTTTGCATGGACGAGCTTGCTTCCACTTAATCTGGCCTCCGCAATGTTGAGACTGTATAATACTTCAGAAATATGGTTAGTGAGATCAGTCACAAAAACTGTACAACTCCTCCCTTTGCTTAATGAAGTTGCAGAATCCAAAAGATCTGCATCAGGCTCTAACAGTTGTGATTCATCATAGGAGCAATCCATTGAGTCGTGATGGAGTTTATGTCCTGAAATTAAAAGTAAATGTTGGAGCTAATAGATATATAGATGCTTCAACAAGGAGACTAGAATAATGCCAGAAAAGTATTATCGTCATTATAAATATTTTCCGCCAAGAATGTGGCCTATCACCAAGGTAGTTCCTTACCTGAATTATCATCAAGACTACTGGAAAAGCAACTATCGTTTGAAAAGGAAGCTTCAAGTACAGACCCTGGACTGAGATGATCATAGTCACGTGAATACCCGACTGAAGCCCCCATTGTCTTCATTTTAGCCTGCGGGCAAATTAAAAAATAAATTAAATAAATGTTTGCGATGAACAAAACAAAGAGAAGGTGCAGAAAGCAATGCCACTGAGTCAACACCAGCAAATGATTCCAAGAAAAGGCTTTGAGAAGTAACACTAGCAAGAAAGCAAGCAAACTTCTAGGAAAAATTCCAATATTGGAAATTCATCACTAGTTATTGACTAATAATACTGCCTATGATAATGGCAGGGCAAGTCCGGAAAAGATGACCCTAACCCTTTGCCACATGATGAGAAACCATACCTGAACTTGTTTTGAATCCATTAAAAACCACAAAAAGTTAAGTTGCCAACAAGTCCAACTGCATAATCCCTTACTTCAGAATTCTTAACCAGACACTAAAATGACCTTAAAATTAAAGGAGCTACATTTTATTCTCATGCTTCATATGATAGTCCTACAACTATCATCAAGCAACTAGAATGGGATAAGAATGCTCTGTTATGCAACATTAGAAGAGTTTCCAACTTATAAATTACTGTTTCTCATGATCAAACATAATTATCTTGGTTTGCGCTTCAATTCGATAGCTCATAATGGGTTACACGGAAATTCGGAATCAACCTTAAGTCATTTTGATAATGCATTTAAAGCTATAAAAAGATAGGGAAGAATTTTAGTGACCAGTTGCTAATTGCTGCAACTGAACAAGCATCTTAAAGTACTACAAAGAATTAAGAAACATTGGATTTCAGTTCTGTAGTAAACCAAGAATTCTTAAATGATTACCTGGAATATAAAGCATTAAGTGATAAAAACAAAGTCAAGTTTGGAAGTCATCTCGAAGCTCTTAAGTCTCAGAGCCACTTAAACAAAAACTGGTCTCAACTGAAGTATGTCAAGATACTGAGAGCTTTTGATGACTAGAACTTGCAATCATAATATTACTTACTAATATTACTTACTAAATAGCCAAAATCCAACATGTTTAGACAACCAAAACTTGCAATAATATCACTTGTAAAATAACCACAAAATTGCTTCACCAGTTACATGAACATACAGAAGTTTTAACTCCGTTGTTGCTGTCTAGAAACCAAACCCAATGTTCTTAAAATTTGAATCCACATATGGTTTTGATTCCATGCTCAGAATCCTTGTGAAAGGAATCTATGATTTCTTCTTTTTATCTATCAATTTATTATAAATCTCTTTACAAATCTTACCAACCATAAATATTAAATTTTATTACATCTCACACTCCATTCATTGATATATGCAATTCTCTTACAGTTTGTAGTGGTAGTAGTAGTACAGCTGGAAATCTTGTTCAGCCAAAGAGAGGTCCTTAGGAAGGAGTTTGTAGCAGGTTCAACCTTTCAGAATAAGGCTTAGACATGCTGAGTATAAAGGTATATATGTATCAATCTACCACAGCTCCGAAATGAGAGCCAATACCAGCACGCAGAAGGAGTCTCCAAAAGCCAGTTCAGGAAAATATATCCACAGAAAGCAACTTATGGAGGAATCTATTCATTGGAAGATTAGAATTGAAAAGTTGAGGCGGATTACACTAATTTCATATCTTTTAAGCATCCCTACAAACAAGTATCCCTGGCACCAGGGTGAAATCAGGCTATCCAATGCCTTCCATTGACTTGCATATTTTATTTTGTCTTCTAGACAAAATTTAATTAATGCACTTGGTAACTAAATTGTGGTTTGCCAGATTTGACACCAATACAGATGCATTCTTAATTCTCACTATTATTATGAATTGGAATGTATGTCAAATCGCAAATATTTCGTTGGACCTACTTGACAATTTAATCATCGAATGCAAATTTATTTAAAGGAACCAGAAAAGGAAAAGGAATAAATATACTATATTTAATCTAATTCATATTTAATTCTTGTTTTCCGAGTTCATTTAGGACTTCTGGTTTTTCCTTATTACTTAATTTTACATGATTAGGGAAGTCCAAATGGGTTTCAGTTGGGATTATCTACTATGTGTTAGTTACAGCAGTATACGTTCACATTAGCAGCTGCCAACATCCCTTCCCATACAAAAAGTTTAACCACGTACCTCCAACCATAATTCCACAAACTAATGTGTTAGGAACTCTGCAACCAAGCTAATGACACTAATCAAGAAGAACAAACACATTAAGTAATAAAAGGTTGTACAATTTTATTTTTATTTTTATTTTTATTTTTATAAGATAAGAAAAAGGTTGTGCATAATCAAGACATCTACAAGATTTGAACTTTTTTGTGCATTCTGCTAGATTTATTGGAATCTCAGAACTCAAAACCTACACTGGACCAGAACAGAAACAATATTCTCTAAACAGCATGCCAGCTGCAATAGTTCAAACAGAAAAAAGTCCTGCTAATTATTCAGATAGAAAGACATACAGATTGAGAAATAAACTTCTCCATCCAAAATATTTTGTACCATGCAACAAATAGTGTTTAAAGCCATATCAAAGGTGACAAAACAAGTGTCACTAAAACAGTGCTTAATGCATTATAAATTTCCATTTTGCCAACTCAATGAAGAATCAAATAGTCAGAGACAGATAGAAATGAAAACTGACCTGGAAAGTCATATTAGATTTCAACATATGACCACCATAGCATGAAACATCTTTCTGGTTAGATCCAACAACCGCACCATCCTGAGAAACCGGCTTCTCTGCAGTCAAGGCAGATATTAGCTCTTGGAGAATCATAGCAGTGGTTTTCTTTGGTAGAGTATCTCTGGATGACAACTCATCCTCTTGTTGGCAAGTCAATTCCTTCAATTTTTGTTCTAGAATGGCACCTAAAGTATCTCCCCTCAGCGGAAATGGTCTTTGTAAGCATGTCTTTTCATCTCTATCATCCACTTTTGAACTTTGTGGCGGAGTACTATTACAAGCAACTGCATTTTGATCCCTTCTTTTCTCTTCCATTTCTGTGGGGATTTCGTTCTTGTGCTTAATTGGGGCACTAAATGTGAATGAAATAACAGCATTGTCCTTATTACTACCAAATTTTTTACTCTCTCCCAGACGGCTCAATCTGCTTTCAATGCTAGTGCAGTTCGTTGAGTGAGAATGAAGTCCCACCCCTTTACCAGCCACTGCATCACAACTAACATTTCTTTGTTTTCCCAAGGTGGAAGTGATGAAACCAGGACTTCCACCTTGTCTACCAACATTCAAGGACCTCCTCTTCTGCAATGGTAATAATGGATCATCTCGCCTGTTACCAGATTTTCTATCTGCATTGAACTTGCAATTATCCACATTGACAGGTATCCTAGTCCGGGTACGACCACTTAAACTTCGGTTTAAAGCAACAAAATCTTTGGTCTCATTAACAGCATTTGCAGCAGATGAGACTCTGTTGCTGTGCAGATTACTACATTTTGCCCTTTGTGGAACACTATCCCTGCCTTGCAGCATGTGATTTTCCCTTCGTGCCTTGTGCTTAAAACCAATAGAAGATGATACATCATTTTGAGGCTTGCACTGTTGGCTTGTAAGATGCCGCTGACTTCGGCCATCTTGATTAAGAGGCTTTCTATTTGGTATTGGTTCAGAATGAGTTTGCATATTGTTCCTTGCTCGTGAAGCATGAGATTCAGATTGCTCCCTACTTTTCTGAAAAATTCTCTCTGTGTCTTGCTCAAGGGAGGATACAGGATGTCTCAGCTGACTCCTTTCTAACCCTTGCGGAGAAGGATTGACATGATTTGAGACAGTGGAAGCAAATACTGATGGATGTTCCCCCACATTTGGTCGAGAGTCCACAATATCTACCAAATTGCCACAATTTTTGCAGGAATGCTGGCCCTTCAGTGACTTGGCTGCACTTGCACAATGACTGGAACCTTTTGACGGATCCAGTGATAGAGCTATTGTTTCCTCCAACATGATGTCATTTCCGGGAGCATGATGTGTGGTATTCAAATAAGTAAGAGCACATTTTGCCCTACTTGTAGCTTGCAAGCCAGGTTCCAAAATTTTAGCTGCAGCATCAAACAACCGAGATTTCCTAGGGGCATTTCTCCCAGATACCATCCTTGGACTCTTCACAGGAGAAGCAAGTTTAGGATGATGCTTTCTAGACCGCGACAAAACACTCTTTAACTGCAATGCCTCAGCCCCAAATCTAGTCACCGGTCGCCTTTCAAACAACCCTGTCTTCTGAAGCTTCTGAGGCCTCAATTCATTCTTCGAATTTCCCTTCTCAAAATTCAGATCTTCCTTAATAAACCCACTATGATCATTCAAGAATTTCTCCTCCATATCATTGCCAAATCCAGAAAATGAAGCTTTGTTCGACTTATCTTGTTCTACAGCAGGCATATATTCCAAACCCATAAGCCTAGCAACCAAATTGGGAGATCGGATTTCATGATTTTGCTCAACATCAACACTTCGAGTCCCGTTTTTCTTCACATGTGGGAAACCCCCACTGTTTTCATGAGCAATCTACATTCATACAAAATAATAGTAGCCAAAAATATCAAGAGAGTCAAATTAAGTATAAATATAAACTGCCCACAAAAATACAAGCAGACAAGGCGATCAAAATTTACAAATAAAATGCATACCAGACGAAGCTTGGTTAACTTCTCATCTCCTCCAAACTTCTTCGAAGCTTGCTTTGCTCGAGCTAATACAATGCAGTAACAAAAATCAAACATTTTGAATCATTTTTTGTGTCACATTCACACACACATCTAAGCCACAAGAGCATTGTACTCTAATTGACTGTAAAAGACAAACCTGGTGGAAGCAGTTTCTTGGAGAAGAGCTTCTTCTTGGCGAATCTCCGGTTCCAATCGAAGAGCTGAAAGAAGATGCCCACACAACCACCTGGCCTGTGAGGCTTCTTCTCCGTAATGGCCAAACACGACGCCGTTTTCCCTGTAGTATCATTCATCTCTCGAGCAAAATCCAAATGATAACCCTAGATTCAATTATTTCAGCTCTGCTTCGAAAAAACACTACACACCAACAATCCTCTTCAAATCAATCAATTCGCAAACCCCAGATTCAAAAAAGTCCCCCGAAAATCAATCAACAAACCCTAGTTCCCTCAAACCAGCGGGCATTGATTGATTAATCTTATATTCTATTGATTGATGATCTCATTTCCAATTTGCAAAATCAATCACTTTCTCTCTCATTCTCGAGTCACATTGTGATCCAAAAACAGCATGAGATGCTCCGAGTAAGCAACTTTCACAAAAACTACATGAAACTCTGACCTCCTTTAGAAAGCCTGAACAGAAACAACCCTATACAGATAGGGAAAAATCCCAATAATTATCACACTAGCACTGTACAATCACCACAGTCTCTCTCTCCTCTCTCTCTAAGCAGAACTGACAGGAGAGAGAAAGAAAAAGACTTCCATCATAATCAAATCAAATCACAACCAAAAGAACCACCATTTACAAAAAGGAACAATCTCTAAACCGACGGTACTATATAGTCTATACACACAGTGCACATATACACACAGTACTATGTGTATGTGTGTGTATATTGAAGCTGGAGGCACTGAAAAGGCTATGGCGTGAAAGCGGCTGGTCTTCGTTTTCACTGTGTGGAGAGAGGTAAAAGTCTGTAGAGTACAGAGTGGAAGAGTGAAGGTTGAGAGGTGCGCAGGATAAGTAGGATAGGGACAAATAGAGCACACCACGCGCATCTAAGCGATGGTCAACAGGTCAGCATATAAAGATAGAATCGCTATGCACTATTCAGTTGGTTCACATATTCATAAAAATAAATAAATAAATAATAATCAAATTGAATGCTGCATTTTAATTAATTTGATTATCAATTATTCGGTATGTCTAGCGTACTTTATATCTACTCCTTATGAGAAAGAACCATAATTCTTTTCTTGCGAGTCACAGAAGATCGAATGAGATCACTTAAACAGCAACATAACCAACTTGTTGTATTAGTGTAGATCATGTGCATTGACTTTGTGTTTGCGTAGATTGTTAGTGCAATGAATTACATGTCTTACGTCATAGTGTTACAAAATAGATTAAAATGTTGTTATTGTTCATTAAGCGATGTAATTGTTGTATATGGATAGTAAATTTATTGCATAAGCAATATGAAGCTATTCATTAGCGATTTGAATTGTTACATAAGCGATCTAAACGACAAATAATGTGACATAGGATGAAATAGTATAAGAAAGAATCAGAGTTTGTAAAGGTAACATAATAACAAAGATGTAAGATTTATGAATATATCACTCCCGTGAGATAATTTTTAAATGAAAATTATTTTTGTTGAATTGTGTTAAAGAATACCCATTCTGCCCTTATAAAAAACTAGAAAGGTGAACAATGTTTTGTGAGAAGGAAGGACTAATTTTTATTATTATTATTTTTTATGTGCGCCTTTAAAAAATATTACTACGTATGATTGTAATAATTAAATTTTATTATGTTAAACAGACCATGGTAAAACCGTAAAAGAAAGGGTGCAGACTACAAGTGAGTGTTGAAGGGTGCGCAAGATAAAGAGGGTAGGGAAAGAGAGCACAGCACGCGCATCAAAGCCATGGTCAACAGGACATCGTATAAAGATAACATGAGACAAAATTTAAAATTATAAAAAATAAAATAAAAAATTAGAACACGAGACTTCTATATATGTGTCGTCCAGTCTACGTCTGTCCCGCTATCTTGCGCTGTCACGACGTGGAGGTGGAGCGCATTTTTCAAATATCTATGCGTTTGATTCATACTCGCAGACGGAACGTACTCGCTTTTTGGATCTGACACGCGGTGTAAGGTCCCGAAGCTTTGATTTGTTTGGTTCTAAATAGCGAGTAGCGCCGTTGATATACAACATTTGAGTGTTGGGACGAAAAGGGAAGCTGAGTTGTGTTATTTTAAGGACACGTGAGTGCCATGCACCGCCAAGGCATCAACATATCAAGTACTCCGTAAAAAACGTAAACCTCTCTACTTTTCCTTTTTCATATGCTCCGTATTAGTTAAAATTAGGGCTGACCACGGATCTAGATTCAGTTTTGAGTAAAATTTAAATCAATTCGGTTCTCATGAATTGACTAAATCTGAAATCTAACCGATCCGTGCAAACTATTAATATAAATCAAACAAAGCCGTAAAATAACTGATAGATTCGGTTTGATTCCCACAAATTAAGCTTTTTCAAATAGTCCAATATAATTATATTATAGTTATGCCTAACCCAATATATGATTATATTTTACTATTTTAGTTATGGCTTAGACCAAATAATAAATCTTTCAAAACAGTATGTTGTAACACATTTAATCTAAAAACAAATAAGGAATAAAAAAATAAATAGAAATAATATATTACATTATATATATATATATATATATATATATATATATATATATTAATTATATAATATAATTTACGGATTGGATCAGATCGGTTAACAAATTGGTTCGATTTTTTCAGAGTTCAATCCGTTAATTGAACCGCTCATTGCGGATTGCTAATTTTTAAAACCATCACCGAACCATTGGATCAAAAAATCAAATTAAACCACACGGATCAGATTGGTTCGGATCAGTTTGACGGATTAACGGATTATTTGAACACCCCTAGTTAAAATCTTGTCCAAGTTAAAAAGTCAAAAATAAAATAAAAATATTTTCTCATAAATTCTCTTGAAATTTTTAATAATAATTTCTCATAAATTCTCTTGATTTTTTTTTTTTTTTTTTTTAAATTTACACTTTGTTATGTATACATTGAAACTTGAAATTTTTTTAAAATTTATACTTTGTTAGGGATTTGGATAGATAACTTTTTCTCCCCGTCCTTTCTTTTTTCTCTATTAAAAGTTATCCAAACATCATTTCCACTATTCTTTCTTTTAATCCCTTCAAATCACTTAATCCAAACGAAACCTAAGATAACTTATACCGGGCAATGGTTAGAGAGTTAGTTGTTAGTGGGGAATGAAGGGAATCTGGGAATGTGATTCGAATAGGGTAGTGAGCATTTCCACTATCCTTTCTTTTAATCCCTTCAAATCACTTAATCCAAATGAAGCCTAAGATAACTTATACCGAGCAATGGTTAGAAAGTTACTACTTAGTAGTTAGTGGGCCCCGCGGTGCGTTCCCAATAATATGTCCTCCTCAAGAGAGAAAGCTCGTTTGGCAATCATTTCTGTTTCGTGTTTTTTTTATTTTTGCCAGCACATTGTAGCAAAGTAAAAGAACGAAGTATGTTTGTTAACATTTGCTGTCATTTAAATAGTACCAAAGTGCTTCGAAAAAGCAATCAAAACTGAAAATATAAATTTGATGTTTTTTGTTATTTCAGCATTGTTAAAAATTTAAAAAAAAATAAAAAATAAAAAATGATATTCATAACTAACCATTTAATTTTTCAAACTTGTAATATTTTTTTTTGCCAAACATGCCTTCATATTTTTGTTTTCAAAAAAAAATTTGCAACAAATTTATTCTATCAGATAAGTTTTGAAATAATATTGAACACATTCTAAAATAAAGATGGTGATTCTACTTTGGATAAAAACAAAAGCACAAATTAAAAACGGTCCTCAAATGGGCCCATAGCCTCTATGTTTTCCTTCTAAACTCTGAATTGAAGTACAATCTTAGATTTCCTTTTTACCGTATTCCTTGAATTGCTCTTTCTGTTGAACTATTAATACTATTAGTCGGTAGACCAACTCCATGTATCAAACTTTATTGTGTTAGTCAATTGCTACTACTTTAAGCTAAACAAAATGGGACCATTGACAAAACATTATTTCCCCAGGAAGGTAAACTGCAATTTACGAATGTCCCCTTGCTTTAAACACACTTCATAAATACACACAAAGAAACCTTAATCTTTATCATCACCTAGTACGGAGCCAAAAGATATTTTTTTCGCTTTCCAAATTACAAAAGGCAAAGTAAAAGTATGAATTTCCTGCCTAAGTAAAAAAAATTAAAATCTTATTTTATCAATATATTGGGCCCCGTGAATTCTCTCTCAAATCAGATTTGACAAAGCAGTTGCCCTTTTGTTTGAATTCAAGGAAGTGGTTAGCCAAAATGCTCTACTAACTTCACGTTTGGAAAGCATCACAACACTATTGTTATGAAATTAGATAAAAATATATAGATCAAACACATCTTACACAACGATTTAGTTTGGTTCACCGAAAAAAACAGAGGCTATATTAACGAGATCAAAAACAAATTTTTATATAAGATGCGTTTGATCTATTTAAAATGTTTGTCATAAATTCGATTCGATCTCATTTACGTCAGTAAATATTGAAATGCATATATCACTCATTATATATATATATATATATATATATATCACACCATATACATATAGCTAATTTACATAGAAATAGAGAGATAAATCACGCAACAATGGTATATATACACGTTACATAGATGTTCCGAAAAGATTATTTTAGTAAAATTACAGATCCATTACTTATATTTACTTCAATCTTCTCTCGATCTTCAAAGTGATGCCACTAATTTATGCACACTCTCCACCATGATGAAGCTTTCCATCTCTTGATTTTGAAAGAGAAAAGAAATACGTGTCAAAGGGAAAAATATGTGTATAAAGTACTATGTGATTGTGATTTGTAGGGTATAATTATTAGGTAGTCCCGGACCATTGACTTATGTACCAATGATCTAAGAGTACCAAATAATTTATTGCAATTTGAAGAATAATAGAAGATGCGTAATAGAATAAGCATCATAGGTTGCGTTTTGTGTGTTTGTTATATATGTATGGGCTTTTGGAATTATTTGTATATGGGACCTTAGTTGGGCTAAGGCCTAGACTTTAGTGAATAAACTTAATACGAACACATTTATAAGTTATGTTTACAACACGTTTGCGAACAAACAATCTGAGCAAGGAGCTGTTTGAGATTAGTTCATTTGCTAAGTAAATGAACGCGAGCCAAGCCGAGCTCGAGCTATTCACTAAACGCTCGGTTCATTTATAGCGGTATGCTTAATCTGTGTCCTTCTTCCCCCTTTGCAACTGTGGTCATTGAGGATATTAAGCAATGTATTAGTGTTTCCACTCTATTAACATACATGATAATTATGTTTTATTTTATTTTATTTCTAACTCAGCAAGGCGATCTGCATGAATGCAACAAGAAGAAAATTTGAAGGGAAAAAATATATGAGAAAACTATAAAGGAAAAAAAAACAGAAAAAAGGATTTGGTTGAAGAAAAGAACTGCAAATATATTTGAAAAAAAAAAAAAAAAAAAATGAAGAATAAGAAGTAGAGTTGGAAGAAAAAAACATAGAAGAAAGAAATAGAAAGATTTTTAGAAAAACTAGTATAAACCACGAACATTGCACGCGATCAAAAACTATATAAAATTATAAAAAATTAAATATCATATTCGGAAGTGTAATATTCTAAATAAATAACAAGACATTTTAATGACCAAAAAAACACATTTAATAAAAATTCTTTTAATGATGAACTTCTCTCGTCCTATAACTCTATTGATGAACTTCTCTCCTCCTATATCTTACAATTCTATGGAGGAATTTATTAAGACTAGGACTCTTCTCTTGTAAAGATATAATATACATAATTAAAAAAAAAAAAAAGTTAAAATA